ATAGAAAGATACATACGAACGTTGAGAGAAGGACTTGCAAAACTAGATAGAAAGAGACCACTGAAAGAGAGAATAAAGGAGCTAGTAAAAAGCTATAACAGCACGTGGCACAGTGGGATAAGAACAACACCAGAGAAAGCAGGACGAGAACAAGAAAAGGTCAGTGAGATAAATAAGGCAGACGGGAAGTACGCAAAAGCATATAAAATCAAGAAAAGAGAACAGTTCTGGCCAGGCGAACAAGTAAAAACAGCAAAACTTGAAAACTTAAAGCAAAAGCAGAAAAGCGAAAAAGGAAGATTCTACAATGATGGAGTAATAGTAAAGAGATGTGGGAATGATACGTATTTAGTGAAAGACGAAAGTGGGAAGATTAAGAAGAAGACATATAAAGAAATAAAAGGGCTGCCAGAGATACGGAAGCCATTGGAAACATGGAGGCTGAAGGAAGAGGAAGAGAATAACAACAAGGATATCAAAAATGGGGGGTGTAAAAGAGAAATAGAAGGAAGACAGAATGACCTCTGTCTTGCCGGGGGCATGTTGAGTATAAATTAAAATTTAATAAATAAAACCATGGATAGTTTACATTTTATTTTTATTTTTATTTATGTTTAGTAGGATATTTAAAAGAAAAGCATATACTCAGGATACAATAATTAGAGAAGTGTTGTAAAAAGGTTAAAATGAAAATCTAGCTCTGTTAGAGCGCATGCAGAGTATCAACGTGTAATAGCAGTACTAAACTAATGGTATAGAAATACGAGTATGCATAAGATTAAGAGTTATTTAGCGCTAGATCAAAATTGATAGCTGAGGCATATCATGTTTATTTGTGTTCTTATCTACACTCCGCTGCATGGTATAGTGTTTCTTTATACATTCATATCACCTAGATATTAGAAAGTTTCGCTACATTTCTAGAAGAACTGATAAATACTATAGATATTATAAGAGATATAAGAAAAACCATGAGAATTACAGTTTTCTGCATCTGTATTATTTTTCTTTCTTTGAGTTCTTCTGACTCTTTAGATACTTCCAATATCTGCGGTGCTTCTTTTATCTCTTCTTCTTTAGATACTTCCAATACCTGCGGTGCTTCTAATCCATCTACTTCTATTTTCCGTGCTTTTCCAAATTTTTTTATCCCTTTGAGTATGTGCTCTTCTTGAATTGGCTTTAATTCATCTAACTCATATAACTTTATATTAACATTAAGCAATTTTAAAAATGCTCTTCTCTTATCATATCTTAGTAAATATATGTCATTTTCCAGATTATTAATAGAGCAACTTAATTTTGTAATACTTTCTTTATCATTTTTTCTCACTGCTTGATCATACTCTATTTTCTTTTCTCTTAAAATTTTCCCTTTCTCGTTTATTTTATTATATAATCTAGTATTTTCTTCATCTGCTAGTTTCTTTAAATCTTCGTCTCTAGCTACATGGTCTCTGTAAAAATTATCTAAGCCTGCTTTCAGTCTCAGAATGTTAGGTCCTCCTTCTGTTTCTTTTAAGAAGTCAGTTTTGTTTGCTACATATTCTATTGTATTAATTATATAGTTGTGTATGTATTTTTCGTGTGAAATCTCTTTTAGATTGTCTTTAATAGAAATAGCTAAGAGCAGTTCATCTTCTGTAAATAGCTCATATATTACTTCAACTATATCCTGCGGGTTATTTGAAATAATTTTTATCTCTTTAATCAGCTCGATTAACTCAGCAATCTTATAATGTTTTTCGTGAATAAGCTTCAATCCGTAGTCTATCAGTAGCTCATTAGTATTTTCGTATTTCTTAGTGTACAGCTCGTCTAGAGTGTAGTATTCTTTTTTGAATGAGTATTTTTTAAAAATATCCATATTTAATTTATGCATTGAGTCTTCGATAGAATTTTTAGTTATATAATCGAGCATTTTTCTGTCTCGGCTCTCAACGACAGAGTCTCGTAAACTTTCTAAATTCAAGAACTTTGAGTCGTCAATCTCTAGTGTGTATTCCCTGGTACTTAGGTCAATGTCTCTATCAGGCAAGAGTACATCTTCTAGCGCCTTGTCTCTGTCAAACTGCATATGCACTCCCTGCTCTGGGTTGTATATAAGTGGGTTTTGTCTTATAATGTCATTGATTAGATCGATAAACTGATGCTTAATTAATCCTTCATCTTTGGACTTTAAAGCTTCATATAGACAGCCTATACTACTATATCCATTGTATGTATAGTATTTATAAATGTTATTCTTAATTATATCCAGAATAGCTTCCTTTTCTTTATCGGTACAGTGCTCACTTTCGATTTTTAGACCGCCACCACTGAATATATTCTTTAGTATGCTAAGTTCTTCCAAATAACCCTCATGTTCAAGAACTACTTTTGAGTCTGGCGCAATGATAGCGTTGCATGCTTCAAACAGCTTTTTGAGATTTACTATTAGTTTAACTTTTTTCATGTGTCCTTTGTAAAAATTTTAATTGCAGAAGAAATTTAAATGCATATTCTTGGTTTGCTCTTTTGATTGGTCTTGCTCTATGGCTCATTGGAGGAGAATCTCTCAAAGCATCCAATTGATTTGCCGAACAAAACAGCGCTTTCTCCTGTAGATTACAGACGAGTGGCTGGCAGTTTGTTGGAATAAAGCTCTTTCTGCAGCTTGCCAAGCTGGTCTATCTAGCTCAAAGCTGTTTGCACAGCAGATGCATATGCTATTCAGCATCAGTGATTTTCAAAAAAAAAAGGCGTGCTGTGCTATGGCACTCGTACTATCTATGCTACTCGAATGGAAAAGACGATAGACACGCTCAGAGCACAGGAGCAGCAGCATCTGTGGATTTGCAGTGCATCTAGTGCATCTAGGCATCTAGACATCTAGGCATCATAAAAATTTTTGTGCCAGAATATGTGCAGAAGTACAGAAGAAAAAGCACAGCTCTAGCAGGTAACTATAAATAGAAAAAAATGATATTTTTTTATGAAAGATCAAAAGACGAAGAAAATACTGAATGCGGCAGGTATGCTGCTTATCTTCTTTATCGCAGTGTGCAGAGGAGGCGGAATTGCCTCTAACGAGCAGGAGCTCAGCCCTGTGGAGTTCCTGAGAGAAGACAGCCCCTTCAGCGACATAG